CAGCGGGTTCAGCCGGGCGGAGGCAGTGGCACCGGTGCCACGCGACTGCCCGCTGCAGCCCAGCTTTTGCTGCTGTTATTTAAGCAGCGCTTGCTGGGAAAAGCCCCTCTGCTTAGAACTGCTGACGCAGCATTACTGCGGGAGGACGAACGGCAGCAAGCCTGAAGAGAAGCGGGCGCTGCAAGGTAAACGCACGGTAGAGCTGGGGGGTTTATCTGCTTCACAAAGCTGGGGGAGAGGAAGGAGGGCAAAGGCGTACCGCAGTGTCACGCTTGGCCACCACCAAACCCATTTTTTTCTTTTATCTCTGAGACACATTTATAAAGTCACTCTATAAATACACCACTACAAGCAATTTGCACACCGTAGGAGTGAAGCTCTCTGCTCAACCGAACTCAGGAGTTTTTTTTGCCACTTAATTTTCAACAAAAGTCATTCTTAGTTTTCCCCAAAACAACTGCTTTAGTCCCAAATTTTTAGAATTCAACAGCTTGCAAACTTAAACGTGACCGGCTGTAGGAGCCAGCCACGCTCTGCCTGTGGGGGAATGACTCTGAATTTCGTAAGAAGCTCCATGCATCAAGACCTGACGTCGTGCACGGTTTGGGGGTGGCTTTTTCCCTTCTCATCTCGCCTGCCTCTCCCCGCAGCTCTGGAAAACGCCGTGTCTGCTGCAGCCGCAGCGGCGGGGGGCAGCCAGCCTGCCAGGGCTGCTCCGTGTTGTCTGCCCAGAAGCGCTGCTCGCCTAGGGGACTGGAACTTCTTGTGCCCAAAACTTCACCAGAAGAACCCGGCCCCTGTGCCCAGCGCTCTGACAAGGCACGGGTTCATGTTTTTAAAGGCCAGCAAGTCTTACGCTTCCTATGGGATCGTACGAGAACAAGCAGCTTTTCCTGCGAGCTCTGCGCAGAAGAGCGCTGAGTCTTTAACACAGCCTCCAAGAGAGGAAGCTCTCCTCGCAGCAGCAGGTTTGCGCTGCTGTAACTTCACTCAAGCGAAGCCCGAGCTCGGCCTGCCCTGCCCAAGCCAACCTCGGCGCTCAGCAGCTGCTCTGGCAAACCACACCGCGACAGACCGACTTTCACCGCAACGAGAGAGAAACGCAGCCTGCAACTCCAGCCCCTTCTGCCAGCCAGACTGCCACTCCGGAACAAGCCCGGTCCGCTCCCCGCAGGGAAAACGAGCGCTCGGAGGCCGAAGAGAGCTCCTGTTTGCCACAGACACAGGAAGGAACTAGAAACAGTTCTCTTTTTCTCAGTGCTATTTGAGAATGGCTGTAGTTAAACTTGATTCACTGTTTATTATGTTTAAAAAAATATAGTTCACACAAAAGTATCATGTAAACATTCTTTAAAGAACTGCTGGTGCTCAGGCAGGATTCGGACTTTGCAAACACCACAGGGCTGTGGCGCGATGGTCGTGCGGCGTTCAGCTGCGGCTGCACCAGTCTCCTAGGGTGCCAGGTTCAGTGAAGATCTCTGAGGCTTTGTGTAAGCAGGCAGACAACATTACCACAAGACAATTACACACCACGCTAGATCTTTTGATTACTTGGTTCCAGGATTCCCAAGCCAAATCTTTCAAAACGCAGGACAACTTTGCTACTGTTAATGCTGAAAAGAGTGGGGAGGGAGAGGAGAAGGGAGGGGAGAAGAGTTACTTATTTTTAATTTCTCTTACAAAGCTACAGTCCTATAAAAGGAACTAAAATGGGTTAAAGTCCGATCTCACACAACTCCAGATCACCCAGAAAAGAGGCTGAAGTCACTAAGCAGCAAGCACATGAACTTATTCCTGCAGACCTCACCAGTGGAAACACACAGTGCAAATCCGATTCGCCTCAAACTGGAGAAACGGGAGGTTTTCCTGAGTACCTGAGGTGGCCAGAGCCCCGATGCTTGTTTTCAACGGGCACTTGTTTTCCTTGGAGTCAAAGGCAAGGAAAAAATGACTTGCAGAATTTTCTTTTGAAGAGAAAGGGCTGTTTTGACAAGGTACATCAATTGGTTAAAAAAACCCAACCCAACCCGAACCCCATGTGCTCCTCCTTACAGACGGGCGCAAGTGCATAAAGATGCCTTTTCCTCCACCCTTCAACCATCAGCACA